GGACTGCAAGATCGGTTTGAATAAACCAAAAAACTCAGAGGTTCAAGTTCACCAGCTGCTCCTCAGAAACTCTATACAGCATTACTATGGGTCGGGACCGACTTACAGCACTTAACAGCAGAATATGTTTAACCATTCAGCTATACACTTAATATTTGTAAACTTTACAATATATTGTTATTGTCATCAAATGGGTTCTGACTCATAGTGAGTTGCCAAGACTTTAGTGATTTTTTTTTTTTTAAGTTTTTATTGTGAATTGAGTGAAAGTTTACAGGGCAGATCATCAGTTTTACATCCAACAAATCATTCTGTTTCATTGCAATGATTATAATCCCCTCCACGTACCACCAGATAACAATATTTACCTCTATTCCTTTTTTTTTCTTTTTCTTTTTGATGTATACATACCACATATAAAATAAATATTCGTTTAAATGTCCAAAGGGTGTGTTTTGCAAGCCTGCCTCCTGCCTGTAGGCTCCCTGCCTTTCTCAGTCCCTGGGCCTAGAGTCCTCCGCTGCTGTCTCTATGCCATTGCCTCTGTTACTGTCTCTGCTGTCTCTGCTTTTCTGGTTAGGATCCCACACTTCACTCATGCACTTTCCTCTTAGTGGTCTTAGGGTCCTCTGTTTCTGAAATGAAAGACTAACTACTCCCCCCTTTAATTACACAGAAAACATCTTTAGTATAGTTTTACTGAGCTATATACATGGCACATAACAACAACACACATGAAAAAGGTGGAGTAGGCAAATATCATGTTAGATGTATTTCTACCAAAAAAAGAAAAAGGCAGCTCAACAGCATTCGTGTACTGTGTATAACCAAAACCTCAAGGTATTTATTTTGTTGATTCAGAGGATTTGGGTCATGGTTTTGTGATATTCCACTGAATTGGCCCAATAGTTTTTTCTCTATACTTAATTTGTTGTACAGTGCCTAGGGTCTTAAAAGTGTTTGAGTGGTCATCTAAGGTACAACAATTGGTCTTTAATTTACCCAGAACAGCAGAAAAGTATGGAGTTGAAGGAGGTTATGCCTCCATGAACAATGGCCTCTGTTGCTATAACACCAGATGTAATGGATGAGGCCCAAATACCATTACTGAACATTGGATCAAAGATTTGATACAGTAATTCTAATCAAAAGAGATAAATATGTGGGGCAGAATTTCAACTTCTCATAGAATCCAAACTTCTTGGAGCCATTTGAGACTGGATGACCCTTCAAAACTATTGCCTTGAAGAAATCTTTAAACCTTAACCAAAAACTATCTCCTGAAGTCAGCTTTAAACCAAACAATACTTTTGTTTAATCAGAAAAGAATGTCCACTCTGAGCATCGTGTTCTTTCTTTCTTTCTTTTTTCAAAGTTTTTATTGTGAATCCAGTGATCGTTTACATGGGAGAACATCAGCTTTACACTCATCGTATCGTATTTCATTTCATTGCAATGATTATAATCTCCTCCGTGTATCATCATTCAACAGTATTTGCTTCTATTCTGTCTGTTTTATTTTGTGAGGGTTTTTTTGGATGTACATCAAAACACTCAGGAATGTGCAATCATTCAAACACCCAAAGGGGATACCCTGCAAACAGCACATCGCGCCTCTCCCTCCCTGAGTCTAGAGTTCCCAGCCACTCCATCTCCCCACGCCCTCATCTCTGCCTCCACCTCTGGCATCGCTGCTTCTCTGAATAGGGTCCCGCACTCCACTCCTGCTCTTCTCCCTTATGGCCCCAGGGTCCTCCGCTTTGGGACTGCAAGATCAACTACAAGCATCACATTCTTTTAAAGAATTGCAAACTGGGATCAAATTGATAACAGCCACCAAAAAGGTTAGAAGAGACGGTCAAGCGACAGTGAGTTTGAGTTGATCATGATGAAACCATTTGGAAAAGGACGTCAATAAAGTGACTAGAGGGAAATATTCTGTGAACTGATGGTACATGGAAAGGATTGTAATCATTGTAATGACACGAAGGGTATAATTTGTTGAATGTGGAACTGATGGTCTGTAAACCTTCACTCAGTTCACAATAAAACGTTTTAAAAAACAGCAACAACATAAAAACATGACACAACTTGAAGAATGAGATCAATGTATGAGGTAGACATTGTTGAAATGATGTATGCTTTCCTGAGTTCACTAAAGTGAAGTTACAGGCTGTTCACTGACTGCTAACTGCCAAGTCAGCAGTTCAAAACTCAACAGCCTACTCCTTCCTTCACAGGAGAAGGATGAGGTTTTCTGCTCTCTAAAGAGAAAGCTCTATACAGGATCCTTAGGAACTGGGATTGATGGCAGTGGGTTTGGGGGTTTCCTGTGTATATTTTCACCAAAAGTACAGTTTAAACAAAAAGGGAAACGTTCATAAATATTAACTCAGGAAGAAAAAATAAACAGCCACAGGCGATTCCAAGACACAGAGCCTGAGATCCTGGAAGGATGAGGCTGCTGGATGCGGAAGCTACCAAGGAGGAGGTTTCAGGGTAAAGATTAAGGACTCAGACTCAGGTGACTTTCTCCTGGTCCCTGTGAACTGCTTCCAGTGGGAACAGACAAACCCGATTCAAGCACGATCTTTGAACACGTACACACAAACACATAAACACCCAATCCACCCAAGCCCCGTCAGGGCCCTGAGTCCAGGGAAGGTGCCATAGACTGCGCCACACATTACCACCAGGTGGCGCCCTCCCCTCGACCCACATTCTACCCCTGTTCACTTTCCCAAAATTTCCTTTCACTTTCGATCACCAGTTGTCACTGTTCCCACACCCAGCTGGGGAAACCTGGTGCTTGAGGAGAACTGGAATCCGAGCCCCTTAGGGGCGGGGCGGGGCCCTTCCTTGTGGCCATCGGAAAGAGGTGGGGGGTCGGGTTCCTGGGTCCCTAAACTGAATGAGGGTTCCGGGGGGCGGGACGTTGGGGTTCTTGGAAGGGGAGATAAATTTCATCGTAACTGGGTCTCACGCAGGAAGCTCGCGGGAGCAGGAGGCGGAAATTTAGCCACATCAAGGGGGCAAGGGAGGGGCGGGGAAGTGGAGAGACGGGCGAGGCAGGGGGTGCAGGGTACGGGTCTGTCACTAGCTCTTCTGTCCCTTCCTAGAATCGGCCACAGGCATGAGGGGCCCCGGGCCGAGATGACAGTGCTGGCGTCAGCCTGGAACCCCACGGTTCGTAAACCTGGGGACAAGGTGGGGCAGAAAAGAAGGGAGACGGACAGAGGTAGGAAAGGGACAGAAAGACATGGGGAAAGCCAGACGAATGTGGAGAATGATGCAAAGACCGGACAGAGGTAGGGAAGAGCGACGTTAGAGAGACGGACAGACGTGGGGTGGAACAGACAGATGCGGAGACCAAGGACGCCTCGAGAGTTGCTGGGCAGAGGATGCAGGCTGGAAGCACCGAGCAAAGGAGCAGCAAAGAGACTTCTCTGGGTCGAGGGAGAGACGTGGGGACCTGGGCAAAGACACGGATGGAGCGGGACAGGGCGCTGGAATGAATAGACTACTGACCCGGGAAGGGAGAAAGTGGGAAAGGAAAAGGAGCTGCTGGGGGCCACGGGTGGGGCTGTCGGTGTGCACCACTAGAGGGCGCCCAATTCCCACAGACCTACCTGCTGCTGCTGCTGCTCTTGTTAAGTCCAGGCCTCCGCGGGACCCCTGACTGCACCTTCCCCCAAAGCCCCATCACCTCCAACTTTGGTGAAACCTTCAACCAGCTGGTGAGCGTCTTGTCATTGACCACAGATCTTTGGAGGCCATGCTTCTGAGACTGAGTCTGAAACCACCACCACCACCACCACCCCAGTCTCTGTCCCTCACTCTCTTGTCTCTGTCCCTCTGTTTTTCTCTGGGTCTCTGTCCTCCTCTCTCTGGGTCTCTGTCCCCCTATCTCTTGGTCTCTAGCCCCCTCTTTCTGCGACTCGATACCCCCCCTCTCTCTTGGTCTCTATCCCCCTCTCTCTGGGTCTCTGTCCTCCTCTCTCTGGGTCTCTATCCCTCTCTCTCTGGGTCTCTATACACCCCCTCTCTTTGGGTCTCTATCCCCCTCTCTCTGGGTCTCTGTGCCCCCTCTCTCTTGGTCTCTATCCCCCTCTCTCTGGGTCTCTATACCCCCCCTCTCTCTTGGTCTCTATCCTCCTCTCTCTGGGTCTCTGTCCCTCTCTCTCTGGGTCTCTGTCCCCCCTCTCTCTTAGTCTCTATCCCCCTCTCTCTGGGTCTCTATAACCCCCTCTCTCTGGGTCTCTATACCTCCCTCTCTCTGGGTCTCTATCCCCCCTCTCTCTGGGTCTCTGTCCTCCTCTCTCTGGGTCTCTGTCCCCCTCTCTCTGGGCCTCTGTCCCCCTCTCTCTGGGTCTCTATCCCCCTCTCTCTGGGTCTCTATCCTCCTCTCTCTGGGTCTCTATCCCCCTCTCTCTCTGGGTCTCTATACCCCTCTCTCTGGGTCTCTATATCCCCCTCTCTCTGGGTCTCTATACCCCCCCTCTGGGTCTCTAACCTCCTCTCTCTGGGTCTCTATCCCCCTCTCTCTGGGTCTCTGTCCCCCTCTCTCTAACACTCTGCCTCCATGTGTCCGTATCTCCCCTGTATCAGCAGACCTGACCATGTTCTCTCCTACAGTTGGAGTACCTGCTTGAAGACTATCCAGTCACTGTTGCCTCCAACCTACAGGAGGTGAGGCACAGATGGGCGGGGCCTGGAATGGAGGTAGGATCCAGACTCCAGACCACCACCCTGGCAGGGACCAGGCTAGTTTGCTCACCCAGCTCCCTTCTCCTCCAGAACCAGGAGTCCAGGTGCCCAATCCTCTCCTCCCTCAGTCTCAGGAGTCCAGGGTCCCAAACCCCTCCTGTCCCAGACCCAGGAGTCCTGACCCCGGCCCCCTCCTCTCTCAGACCAAGGAGTTGGGTTCAGGGGCAGATTACTCAATAAACAAGATAAGCATGGGCTTGCTTATGCCTATTTATCAATCTACAGTGAACAGTTTCACTACAGATTAGTAAGTAAACACAAGTAGACCCATGTTTTTACCTTGCTTACTGGGTACACTCCACCCCTGTCAAAGATTGTACATTTTAAGAGTCTTTGATTCTGTAGGAAGGTGCTGTGGGGTTGGGAGAGAAACAGATGCCAGCCAGACCAAGAAGCAGAATCTTTGATATGGTAAAGAAACTGTGAAATTGTTTACTACAGGCTGGTAGGCACAAGTAAGCCTGTGTTTATCTTGCATCCAGTGATGAAACCTGGGTTAAAATTAAAATGTTCACTACAGATTAGTAAGTAGGCCCAAGCTTAATTTGCTTATTGGGAAATCCAACACTGGAGAGGGGGGCCCTTGGGCTCCTCCTCCCTCAGACTCAGGGGTCCCAACCCCCAGTCTCCTCCACACAAAGGGCCCAGAGTGTGGGCTGTGTCTCCGCAGGACGAGCTCTGCGGGGCGCTCTGGCGGCTGGTCCTGGCTCAGCGCTGGATGATCCGCCTCAAGAAGGTGGCTGGGTCCAAGATGGGCAAACTGCTAGATAAGGCGGATACTGAGATAGAATTCGTCACCTTATGTGCCTTCCAGGATGTGAGTCACAGGGGTTGTGGGTAATACTCTGCTAGGCCTTCTTAGAGATTTGTTTTGAGAGGGCAAGTCAAGAAAGGTGGAGGCTGGAGCCCCAGGCTCACCGACCCGTGGCTGGGTGTTGTGGGAATAACTGGCACTTCTCTAGACATCTGAGGGCAGAGAAGGGTGTAGGCCATGTCTGTGGGCCAGGTTTTGTAGACCCTGCTTTACTGAGGTATTTCCCCTTAGCAACCAGGCAGAGATGGGGGAAGGAAACTCTCTCAGCCCCCAACCTAACTGGGTGTTGCTAAGGGGTTCCCTCTCTTAGCAACCACGGAAAGACAGGAGATCAAAACTTTCTGAGACCCAGGCCTAACCGAGATCTGTTTCTGGGCGTTGCTAGGGGATATTTCCCCCCTAGCAACCAGGAAGAGTGGGAATCCAAACCCTCTCAGATGGTTGCTGGATGTTGCTAGAAGTGTTTTCTGCAGTAAACAGGGAGAGATGAGGGGGGCTGGGATCTAAACCCTCTGATTGTTGCTGGGTGTTACTAAGAGGTGTTTCTAAAACCCTCTCAGAGCCATGCCCAACCACACCCTGCTGCTGGGCGTTGCTAAGGGGTATTTCCCCCTAGCAACAAGTGAGAGGGAGGATGGAAAACCAATGCTACTGATGTGTTTTCCCAGCAACCAGGGGGAGAGATGGGGGATCCAAACCCTCTCAGACCCAGGCCTTACAAGACCGTGTGGCCTGGTGTTGCTAAAAGGTGATTCTCCCTAGGAACCAGGGGAAGTTAGATGGAGGAATCTAGACTCTCTCAGAGACCCAGGCCTCCAGGGCTCTTGGCCTGAGGAGATACCAGGTGATGCATGCGGTAGTGACATCTCCCTTCCCTGCTCCCAGCCCCCACCCAGCTGTCTTCGCTTCATCCAGACCAACATCTCCCACCTCCTGTTGGACACCTCCGCACAACTGTCTTCTCTTAAGTCCAAGATCAAGAGCCGGAATTTCTCCCAGTGCCTGGAGCTGCGATGTCAGCCGGGTAAAGGCTCCCAGACCCCTAACCTACTCCCCCTAAATCCTGGAGTTGTAAGGTCAGGGGGGGAAAGGCTCCAGGTCGCCTCCTCCTCCCAGACTCTTCACCCCACATTATATGTGACTTTGACCCCACCCTGTTTCCCACTGACTGTGTGGCATGGGGCACGTGCCTTCTGATATGTGAACCTCAGTTTACCCATCTCTGGATAATCATTGCCGTGGAGTCCATTCTGAGTAAAGCTGACAGAGTGATGGAGTCAGAAGTGCCCTGGAGGGTTTCCAAGGTCTTATGGTGCTGTAAGATAAGCACTGGACTGTGAACCACAAGGTCGGCAGTTCAATCCCACCAGCCGCTCCACTGCCATCAGTTAGAATGGAATCGAGGCTTTCTGCTCCAATAAGGATTTACAGCCTTACAAACCCTACAATAGGGTCTCTGTGAGTAGGAATCCACTTGATTACCGGGAGAGAAGCAGACTGCTACATCCATCTCCCACAGAGCAGCTGGTAGCTTTGAGCCCCCCATCTTTCGGTTTTGCATTTTTTAATAGCCTTGTAAGAAAAAGGTAAAAAGAAACAGGTGAATTCATTTAGGGGGAGGGGTTTTCAACCTTTTTTTTTTTTAAAGCCATAGTTTGTGCTTAAAGATTTTAACAGATATGTAATAGAAAATTTGTAGTTTAACCATTTTCAGTAGTAGAATTCAGTGGCTTTCATTTTATTTAAATTGTGCAACTATCTCCACTATTTATTTACAAAATATTTTCATCACCCCAATGAGAAATTCAGTACCCCCTAAGCAATAATTCTCTATATTCTCTCTCCCAAGCTCCTAGTGACTTACAGCCTCTTGTTTCTGTGCATTGATCTATTCTGGATATTTCATACATTTAAACCTATAAGACTATTTGCTTCCGGGTGTGGCACTATAGGATAAGCCCTAGACTGATAACTGCAAGGTCGGTGGTTCAAACCCACCAGCTGCTCCTTAGAAACCTTATACAGGGTCGCCAAGAGTCGGAACCAACTCGACGGCACTTAACAACAACAAGGAGTTGGAAACCATGGCACTTCGCAACAATAACAACAACAAACATATTATTTATATTTCTAAAATATAAAAACTGTTTTGTTCCTGTCAACCTCTTCCTGGTGTTTTTCAGCCTTTATGCTCTTGCTGACATTTGTCCACTAGATCTGTCGAGTTTGGAGAGGGGTCTTAATAAAGCTCCTCCTCCTGCTTTCTTTGCTATTAACTTCTCCCTGCTTTTTTAACAGTGCTTATCATTTATATTTAGCATCATTTGTCATTTGTATTTAGGGGGATTGTCCATTCAGTCAAGTTTGTTGAGCATCTTCCATGTGCCTGGTACTGAGAACACAGTAAGGAATAAGACCAAGATTCCTGCCCTTTCGGGGCTAGCATGCATGCTAACCAGGGAAACAGACCATAAACATGTAAACAAATAAATAAACAAGAAAATATCTGAGTGTAAAGAGTCCTATACAGGAGGATTCAAACAGGGAGATGGGCTAGAAAATGGCTGAAACAGGAACAGCCAGTGCAAAGGCCCTGCGGCAGAAACCTGCCTATGTGTTTAAGGAACATCGAGGTGGTCAGAGGGCGTGTGGATGGGTGGGGAAGTCAGAAAGAACAAAAATGTTTGAGTCAATTCTAACTCATAGGAATCCTGCAGGACAGAGCAGAGCTGCCCCAGAGGGTGTCCAAGGCTGTTGTTATCTTTACTGAAGCAGACTGCCACATCTCTGTCCCATGGAGAGGCTGTAGACATGTTAGTGACTGAATGCTGGATCACTGTACCACCAGGGTCCCTTGGTGAAATCAGAGCGGAGAGGAAAGGGGGTCAGATCCTATGGGACCTGGTGGATCATCATAGTGCTTCATGCACTGTATCTTCAAGGGGATGAACATAAATGAACACATATAGTCCTGGCATGACGCTGCAGTATTAGCACTGGACTGAAAGCTGAAAGGGCGGTAGTTTAAACCCACCAGCTGCTCCTTGCACCAACTCGGCAGCACCTAACAACAACGGGCACTGTTTTAAGCACTTTTTAACATAGTCACTCATTTAATTCTCCTGTTAGTTCATGAGGTAGGTACAATCATTATTCCCATTTTACAGATGAGTAAATTGAGGCCCAGAAAGGTGAAGAACATGCCCATGAGCTGAGCCTTTCCTTCCCTGGTATTTGCCCTTCTTCTCATTCACCCAGGCTCCTCTCTCCCTCTAGAGCCCTCCACCCTGCTGCCCCCAGAGAGTCCCCAGGCCCTGGGGGCCACAGCCTTGCCGGCTCCTCAGCGCCCTCTGCTGTTCCTCTTGCTGCTGCCCCTGACTGTCCTGCTCTTGCTGGCCACTGCCTGGCGCCTGCATCAGCACAGAAGCTGCAGACAACGCCTTGCCCTAGGGAGCAGGTGAGCAGAGGATGAGCAGAGGAGGTGGGGAGGCCTTGGGGGGTGGCAGGATAGCAGCTGACTCCGTGTGCACCCAGGTGCACCCTGCCTCCAGTCCCCAGGACTGGCTGCCCTCCAGTTTGTGAAGTACTGACTTAACTGGGACTTCATCTTTGTGAGTCCTTTATGCCCCGCAGGGCCCCAAAAGCCAGGCTCAGGATGCTGACTGTGGGAGCAGGGGTACTGGGGAGCTATGTAAGGGCTGTGAGCAGGAGCAGCTCTGGTGTCAGAAAGACTACAGTAAGGGAGACAGATTGGAGGCAGGCAGGTCCAGGGAGGAAGGACAGGCCTGAGCTGGGGTTACTGGAACTGAGAGAACAGGACATAGCAGGGTGAGTGGGGAGTAGGAATGATGGTCTGCCCCCAACCCACAGTAATTGAGAGGACAGTGGAGCAATCCCAAATAGAGAGCATGGGGGGTGGGAGGGAGGAAGGCTAAGGAAAGAACTGAGCTGAGTGGAGACAGGTGGGTACCAGAGACCAGGGGCATCCAGAGACACATGGGGACGCCAGAACCCCCATAAGGCAGGAGGGAACTGGCTTCTCTGGAGCACGAAGGGACTGGTGTTCCTGGCAAAGGGAATGGCATTACAAAGACCTGCAAGTGTGAGGTCGCTACAGTCTTTGTGTGAAAAAACTCAGGAAGTTCTGGTGACATGGAGCAGCCTGGGCAACGCAGGAGAGGGATTGAACAGGAGTGAGCGCGACAGCAGGAAAACCAAGGTCTCTTTTCAAATGCTAAAGAGTCAGAACTTTTCTGCCCCAGACAGCAGGGAGGCATGGGAGGTGTGTGGTGGAGAGTGGACCCCAGTATCAGCTGTGGGAGCAGAGGCAGGTGGGCCATGAGGGGAGGGACAAAAGAGAGGAGGCCCAGGCTCACAGTCTTTGCTCACACTCATAGTGACTCAAGTCTTAGGCTGGCATAGTCTGAGGATTCATTCATTAATTGCCATAGCAACCTGGCAAGGTGGATGCCATTATCCCCATTTTAAAGAGGTTGAAACCCTGGCACAGAGAGTTCAATAGTATGCCAAAAGTCACACAGCTCCTGAGCTGATGGAGCCAGGATTTGACTCTGTGCTGTCTGGTTCTCCAGCATCTCTGTCCCTTAGTCCTTCATTCTTCTGCCTTAGTTTCCTCATCTGTTCAAAGACTCTAATAATAGTCCCGCCACGTGAAGTGACACATAAAATGCCGTCCCATGGAAACTGAATGTGAACTTTACGTGTGGTTTTACATTTTCTAGTTGTAGTTGTTAAATGCTATCGAGTTAGTTCAGACTTATAGTAACCCTGTATAGAATTCGTAAGGAGCAGCTAGTGGGTTTGAAACACCAGCCTTGCAGTTAGAAGCCCAGGGCTTATCCTACAATGCCACACCAGGAGTCCACATTTTCTAGTAGCCACGTTAAAAACAAAAAAACGTGGAAAGAACTATGTGACGTCACTTTCAATATTATATTTTACTTTATACCCAGGTGATGCAAAGGATTGTCAATTCAACATGTAACCAAAAAAGTTTAAATGAGATAACTTTGTATTTTGTGGGTGTTTTTTGTTTTTTTCCCATATTAAGTCTTTAAACTAAGTTCTAGGGTGGCACAAAGTGAAGTGCCTGAGTTCCAACTGAAAGGTTGGTGGTTTGAATCCAGTCAGAGGTGCCTTGGAAGACAGGCGTGGCAATCTGCTTCTGAAAGGTCACAGCCTTGAAAATGCTATGGAGCAGATCTACTCTGCACACGTCAAAAAGTCACTCAACTGCAACGTCAAAAAGTCACTCAACTGCAACTAACAACCAGTCTTCAAAATCCATTGTGTAGGCCTGGGCTTCAAAAACCTTATGCGAAAATCCCATTACCTTTTAGGAGTTCCATTTTTCCACAAATTTTTTTGAAGCTCCCTCATTTTTCACAATCATAGCACATATAGATTCAGACAGTACATTTTCATCAGAATCACTTGATCTGTAGTTCATGAAATTTACGATTGTAAAAGCAGAGCCGACAGGCCCAAGTTGTTCCAAACAGAGTTAAGTGTTGAGTGTCAGTTTCTAACGTCTCTTTCTTTTGTAATGTCGACCCTTGTTTCTGAGAATTAGTGTTGTTATATGCCATCAAGTCCGTTCTAACTCACAGGAACACTATTCATGGCCCCGAGCCACCCTCACAATTACTGTTACATTGGAGCCCATTTGGTAGCCACTGGCTCAAATCTAGCTCCTTAAATTTAAATTAGATAAAATTAAAAATCCAGTTCCTCAGTTGCACTGACCACATGATAAAGAGCTCAGCAGCCCCACGTGGCACGTGTCAGTGTAGCCCTTTCCATCATGGGCCCAGTTCTTTGACCAGCTTGCTCTAACATGTACATTTGTCATACTGCTTTACAGAGCAGAACACTGAAGCCCAGAGAGGGGTGTCATCTGTCAGAAGACACACAGCCAGGACGCAGGGGTTGTCAGCGAGAAGCTGGTCTCTTCCTTGGCCGCCCCCGACGCTCTAGATCTTTCCCCAGGATGGAGGCAGCTCAGAACCCAGCCTCAGCCCCAAGCCCACCAGGAAGCTCTCTGTACAAAGCCCTCAATGTTATGAAATTGTATATAAATCATCCTTTTCTACCAAATCTGGCCAGGCCTATCTGTGGATTTCACAGGGTGGGATGGGCAGTTTGGGTTTCAGAGTCTTGGTTTTGCAGTTAATGCATGTTTTATTCAATATTCCTCTTCTGAGACCTCTGGGGGACCCAGGGTCAGTTCTGAGCAATATTGGAACCCAAACAGTGGTGAGACCCCAGCCTGGCCCATGTGGGAGAAGGCAGGGACCCAGAAAGCACAGGGGAGCCTGAGGCATGCATTAAGGGGGATAGCACAGGAATCGGAAAAGCCTCCGGGAGAGGCACCTGACCAGGTCTGGGATAGGCAGTGGATTCTTGACCTGGAGTTGAGACTGTTTGAAGAATGGGAAGTAGGCAAAAAAGAACAACACACGAAAACCTAAGGAGAAGAGAGTTTATAGGACAATGTGGCTGGAGAAGAGTGACCAGGGGATGCGTAAGGAGGAAGATGAGTGGACAATGGCAGAAAAGGAAATAGAGCTCAGCAGGGACCCAGTAACAAGAGCTGGAGACTTTCAACCTTGTCTTGGGGATGCTGTGCAGAAGATAGCTAGAAAGAGAGTCAGTCAGCTCTGAATGCAGAAACCAAGATCCTGGGTGGGGTGGGCAGTTGGTGGCAACTGGAGGGGGAGAGATACAAGGCATTTGTGTTGCCAAACCAAAATGAGGATTTGCCACCTGTCGCTGTAGTCAATCAGAGAGACGGAAAAGATCCGATCCAAACTTTATTAACAGAAAGCCAGCAGTCTGGAGGACAGGGAGGATGATCCCTCAAGACTGCCCTCCCAGTTTACAAAAAACAAGCACATTGTATAGAGCAGTGTACATCAGCTAAGCATTTGATCTGTTTACATTCCACTGTGAGGCCGAGTAATAACAGAATGTTTTCTCTTTGATCTTGAAAACACATCTCATTCCTAGGGTCTTCACGACCCTTCGACTCAGACAATTACCTGCAACGCCCTTTAGCTTAATTTAAAGGCTTTGTTGTTGTTACGTGCCATGAAGTGGATTCCAACTTATAGCGACCCTGCACAGGGTTTCCGAGGCTACAAATCTTTACGGGAGCAGAACGCCTCATCTTTCTCCCGAGGAACACCTGGTAGTTTCATACTGCTGACCGATTCGTAACCACTAAGCTACCAGAGCTCCTCATTTAAAGGCTTAGGCACATCTTTGTTTCCAGAGGCCATAAAACTATAAAGCTCAAGACCGTTTTTTCTGAGAGATGGAGAGTTTGTAGGTTATTTTCTACAAAGCAGAAACTAGAATTCTTAAAGGCAACGATTCCATTCTTTCACCCGGCGAATCAAAAGGCACTGGGATTATGGTTATGACAAGTCAGATTTTAGAAGGTGGATGGAAGGGAAGCCATCTCAGGCAAAAGACACAGCCCAAACCAAATCCAGAAAATGAGAAGTTCTATAGAGAAAACGCAGACGCTTGGTGCAGCCCAGGGACCTGGAATTCCATTGTTTCAAACACCTGTGGAACTCACTTCCACCGGAACCTGGAGGGACCAGGTTTCAATGAGGCCGACCAGGCGCTGAAACACTGACATCTAGGATAAACAAGCCACTGCTAACCTCAAGGTCGGCGGTTCAAAGCTACCAGTCACTCCTCTGAAATCGGAATGAATCGGAACCTATTCAACGGCACTTAACAAAAGACTAGACAGACGAAGACAGGCAGGCCTGTTCGCCGCCTGCAGGTCACCACATGCCCTTTGGCCTTCAGTCGCCTAAGAAATTAATGGCGGCTCCCCTCACAACCACAGCAGGTAACACACGTGGAAGAGTGGGGAAAACTAGAAGAAGCCCCTCAAAAAGATGGCGGCGCCAGCCGAGCCGCCTTCTCATTCCACGGGACCAATCGCCCCGCACAACCATGGCCGCCGAGGCGCGCTCGGAACGCTAGCCGGATCTAGCTGCCCGAAAACAAGCCGTCCTCTAATGGGCGTCGCAGGAAAATGTACGCATGTGTCCACACTTTGACCAATTAAAAAGTCAGAAAGGTGCCCGCGCAGCTCGTGTGCCGTCACTTCCGTCGCCCCTGTTTCAGGGGATAAGAAACCCTGCGCAGACGCTTCCTTCTTTCCTAGGCGGCTGCCGAAGATGGCGGAGGGACAGGTTTGTGCTCCGCGCAGGCCTGGGCGATGTGGGCTCGGGTGGGTTCCAGGCGAGGGCGGGCGGGTGGTTGGGAGCTTTGGCTACTTGGTTGTAGAATCCAATATTAATAATGAGCTAAAGAGGTGAAGTTTGGAGCGAGAAGGGTCGAATGGTTGGGAGGAGAGTCAGAGAAAGCACGTTAGGGAAAATCAAGGGTACGCTTAGGCTTCGGGCCGACATGCTGTCCCCTAACGAGGAATCCTGGTGTGGCGCTGGACTGCAAGTCTGTTTGAACGGCAGGGTCGGCGGTTCAAGCTCACCAGTCGCTCGTTGGAAGTCCTCTACGGGGTCGCTATGGGTCGGAACCAACTCGAAGGCACTTAAAAACTGGAGGAGTGGTGTGGAGAGTTTTCTTTAGAGGGGAAGAAGGGGTAGTTTACAACAAGGTTTTCGTGACCGACGCTTCGGGAGGTGGGGGAGCCTGGAGCCCGAGTTCGCACCCGAACTCGTTAAGTGTCCCCGGATAAGGTGGCCCGAGGCAACTTGGGCTGCTCGGGGTGGGGGTGGGCAGAATCCTGGTCGGGGGTGCCGAGCTCTTCGGCATTTAGGCTCAAAATGGAGTCCACCTCCGCCCTAAACAAGGCGTGCGGTGCTACACGTGGGAATGCTTGTCGTCGCTCCCAGGGACTTAGGGGATTTTGGAGATGAAATTGGCTCTAGGAGAGCCTTCAGAACTGGATTGTATCTTTTATACTTAAGGGAGGATTGATGGGTAAGGGCTTCTGGTGGTTCCCACGAGGGAACTCCCACAAATCCGTGGGAAATTGGGAGATCAAAGATACGGAATACATCCAAGAGCTTTTTGAAATGCCCCCTACTATTGAGAAAAGGAAAGCTGTGGAAAAGATTACTTTGCTAATATACAACTTGAATAATTTGATGGGAAAGTAAAAGCGAATTCTGAAGCCAGGCTGATCTTGGCTCATCATCTGTAATTTAGTCATCCTTAGAGCAGGCCTAGCAAGCAGAGCTGGTGCTCATTTAAGAGTCAAGTGAGGAAGGTGCAGCTGGAGATTCCTCACTGAGATCATATTAAGGAAGATTACCTACGCTTCTGTGCTCTGCTTTCCTGCAGAACAGAACCCTTGGCAGCTCATCCTGACTCCTAGCTACCTTAAAGGACGTAATAGAACTGTTTAATGGGGTTAATTTATTATGCATAATGAGAATGGTGATGGAAGGTATGTCAAAAACGGAATGGAGACTTTCTGGTGTAGTGTTTATTTTTCATATTTACTCAGTGGGAAGTCTTCATTTCTCCAGGAGCACAGACTCTGGGAGTAGCTAGGGGTGTAGTGTGTCAGGAAGGTATCTTGGTTGCCTCAGCCCTCTGACCTATCTGTCTTCCCAGGTCCTGGTGCTCGATGGCCGAGGCCATCTCCTGGGCCGCCTGGCGGCCATTGTGGCCAAGCAAGTGCTGCTCGGTAAGTGCCCTCCTCCCACCATCCCTTCCGTTTCCCCTGGTGCCAGGTCAGTGATGAGCAACAATCACCATCTTTCGTTTGAGTCTCACGACCATGAGATCAACCCATGCACCGCTCTGAGACCTGCCAGTCCTCTCTGTGGGCCATAGGGTTACCCTATGGAGAGCCATCCCTTCAGTTATGTTAACTACTGTGTGACTTAGCAAGAGGTTCCCTCACCCTGAGTCTTGTGGTCATTGCTGCTCGGTTACCCTTTAGCAGTGACTGGATAGGCTAGGTGGAGGAGTGTCCTCAGGCTGCCACCAAAGTCAGTCCTCTCCTAACTTCTTCCTGGGTCACGTCTCCCTAGGCCGGAAGGTGGTGGTCGTGCGCTGTGAAGGCATCAACATTTCTGGCAACTTCTACCGAAACAAGTGTACGTTGGGGACACTGAAGGACTTGGGAGGGCCAACATGTGGTAGAAGGTACTTGCACTGGGAAGAGTTAGGGGTCTTGGACCCGGCAGTTGGGTCTTACAGACTCCTCTTTCTCCACAGTGAAGTACTTGGCCTTCCTCCGCAAACGAATGAACACCAACCCATCCAGAGGCCCATACCACTTCCGGGCCCCCAGCCGCATCTTCTGGCGTACAGTGCGAGGTAAGCAGTGTCCAGGCTGTGCGCACACAGGTGGGTGGCCAGTGATGAGGACTTTTCCCACTCATGTTCGAGTTTCCGACCATGAGATGACTTCACATGCACTACCATCTGAGGCCACTCAACTGCCCCTTCTTGCGCACTGGAGTGAAGGGACTCAGGGATGTCCTCCTAAGCATGCCCTCTGCCCACAGGTATGTTGCCCCACAAGACTAAGCGTGGCCAGGCTGCCCTCGACCGCCTCAAGGTGTTTGACGGGATCCCACCCCCCTATGACAAGGTGAGTTAGACCAGATCCAGTGAAGGCTCCTCCCCGCCTAACTAGTGTCTGTGATGCTCCTTGACATTATACCTACATTGTTTGAGCCTCATGAGAACAGCACTGACTGAGACACCAGCCCGGCCTTCAGTGTGTTTGTCCGTCTGTCCCCCAGGACTCTAAACCCCCCCTCCTTCCCCTCACAGAAAAAGCGGATGGTGGTTCCTGCTGCGCTTAAGGTTGTGCGACTCAAGCCCACGCGGAAGGTGAGTTCCCGTCCCAGGGAATCAGGGTGGGGAATCATAAGAACAATACCAACTGCACCTCCCCCTCCCTGAGCACCCAGTCGGTTCAGTAATTGAACTCAGGCACCATATTCAAGTATGTGATTTATTAGGGACGTTAACAGGTTGGGATTTAGGGTCTGTGGTGTTCAGGGCATAGTTCTTCCAATTCAAACAGCCCCTCTTAGCCATACCTCTGGGCAGACCTTCCTCTGACCAGATAGTGCTACAAAGCTTTTTAGCACAGCCTCCTGCCCAGAATCCCCCTGCTCTTCCTAGCTGTGATAGAGGTGAGATCCCTCTCCTGTTTGAGGTGGCTATTTTATACACCCGCGGTAGAGTTACAGGGTTATGCAATCACAGCTAAAGCATACAATCTTGTCAGTATTCCGTCTCCCGTACTCGGGTCCAAAAGGAGTCTTGTCAGTTTACCAAGACTAAGGACTACAGGGTGGGTCCTCGAAGTTGAGATGCCCTGGCAAATGATGGCTTTTCTCACGATGGTCTGCGGATGCCCAAGTGGACACTGCCGATAATGCCAATGGCTCAGCTGATGCCGCAAAGGGGCAGTGCCAGGTTAGGGGGTAGGTACTGACTTTCCCAAATAAATGGGTACATAGAGGTGATTGTCATACATTTCCAGGAGCCTCTGGGACAGCTGTTTATTCCTGTTGTGTTTCCCTGAAGCCTCTGGATTTATATCTCCTCACAATCCTGCCTGCCTTTCACCCCCCTAGTTTGCTTACCTGGGTCGTCTAGCACATGAGGTGGGTTGGAAGTATCAGGCGGTGACCGCCACCTTGGAGGAGAAGAGGAAGGAGAAGGCCAAGATCCATTACCGGAAGAAGAAGCAGCTTATGGTACGTGGGGTGAGGGGCTGGGATTCTAGTTGGGGCATGGCATTTAGTTCACAGCTCTGGCAGATGATGTCTCTATTCACGATGGTCTTCTGAGGCCCTGGGGGCTCTGCTGACTCTGCCTAAGGCAATGCTGATGCCAGCTGGTGGGTGGTATTAACTGCACAACATGGGTGTTCACACAGCTGCCACTGACCCACCGGTGGTTGTTCTCCCAACAGAGGCTTCGGAAACAGGCCGAAAAGAACTTGGAGAAGAAGATAGACAAGTACACAGAGGTTCTCAAGACCCATGGACTCCTGGTCTGAGCCCAATAAAGACTTATTAGTTCCTCATTGGCCTGGCCTTGCCCTTCCTCCGATACCGCCCTGGGATGCTGGGGACCCCTGGGGCCCAGCCAGGGTCTAGGGTTGAGCAGGGGCCTAGGTCACACAACCACTACTCCCACTTCAGTTACTAACTTGTGAAGAGTTAGCATAAATCAGTAGCTGGAGCAACCAGTTTACTTCTGTTGTAAGAAGTTTTGTAAAACTAACTGCAGGAACACTGAAACAGTAAATGGGGTGTTTGCTAAAAAGATTCCACATGGTTTGTTTTACACTATACTCTGCAGCTGTTAGAATATTCTCAAAATTTGTGCAATCTCAGGTGCTCCTGGGATTGTAAAAAGGATATTTACAGATGTAGAGGCTGGGAGGAGCTGCCATCAGGGGCCACCCTGGTGGGTTCCCTATGGTTTGTAATTCAAAGCTAATAAATTATTTGTAACCTAAATTGGTGTCTTTGCAATATGTCTGCTCCAGAGATTGATCTGGGGAAGATCATGTCCTGGGTGAAATAGACAGGAGTGTTGCTTTGCAATCTGCACCATAATGTGAAAACAGACTCTTAATTGACAAGCCAAGGATTCTCCTGGAGAGTTAATTGGATGGGCACGCTTGTGGAACTCCCAGTGTGGTGTCTGGTGGTAGCAGGAACCATCCCAGCCAATACGGAGCTCCTTCCTAATCTCGCTGCAGAGTATGGAGTTAACCAACCTCTTAACCAATCCTTGGGTGCAGATATGGACAACTGGGACATTTTAAATTCAAAACACCTTTGCAACTAGTTGGGTCTACCAAAAGGAGGGGGTAAACATGAAGGTAAAGTTAACTTGAGACTGAAAAATTTCTCAGTGAAGTTGACAAGTAGGTACAACAATCCTTTTGGATTGTTGCAGTTCTGGAATAGGGTCCTGGTGTGCTGACCAGTGATGCCCCCTAGACCACAAGGTCAGATGGACATAAAAGGGATCCTTTGACATCTAAGGTCACAAAGATGGGCTTAATGTGTTTGGAAAGATATACACCAAAACACGCACACTTTTTTGAATGCATTCTCACCATCTTGGGAGATGTTCTTCCTGCATTAACTGCAAACTTGCTAGTGTAGCATGTGGCATAAAGCAAGCACTAGACCCCATGGTCTGCAGTTCAAACTCTCCAGTCACTCCTTGGAAACCTTATACAAGGTTACTATGTGGGAATCAATTTGGTAGCTTAGTGGTTAAATGCAATTGACTACTTTCTCATAAGGACCCTGTACAGGATTTCCAAGGCTGTGAACATTTACAGGAGCAGAAAGCCTCATCTTTCTCCCACAGAACAGCTAGTTTGAACTGACCTTTGGGTTCACATCCCAATTTGTAACCAGTAAGCTACTAGAGTTCCTGATGTTGTTATGTGCCATCAAGTCGGTTCCGACCCATAGCGACCCTGTATAGGGTTTCCGAGGGTGTAAATCTTTACAGGAGTAGAAAGCCTCATCTTTCTCCCGCGGAGCACCTGGTAGTTTCGAACCGCTGACCTTAAGGTTCGCAGCCCAATTCGTAACCACTACGCTACCAGAGCTCCTTTTATATAAGGTATATGAAACCCTACTGATACTGATACTGAACTTAAATGGCACTGACTTCTAGGACACTTAACCTTTCAGTTAGCCCCTGGGGCCTTTCCCATGTAGATCATGGTAATGGGTAGTTCTGAACCCTCTGCTGAGAGTGGCCATCTCTTCAGGTCTATTGGCTGTGAAACACCATAAGCTGCCTGGCATATGACAAAAGTAGGGAAGTTAGTCCTTGAACCCTATAAACACTGGCCAAAGAACCGGTGTGGTAGGGTGTAACCAACATTAAAAAATGGAGTAAAACAAAACAAAAATGTTGGAGAAAGGGAAAGAACATCCTAAGAAAATAAGGTGAGCGATCTAGTAGAAGTAATGGGTTCAAACAACAGATGATGCAGAAACAATTTTTCCTTGTGCTATGAGTTGGAACCAACTGGGAAAACGGATGGAGAAAAGTAGGACAAGAGAAAAGGGGTGAGAGGTTTGATCACAATGTGGAATGGAGAATATTTTTTACAATGGTCAAAAAGTTTTGAAAGCTACTGACCTTAGTATATCCATATTGCTCCCAGCCCTTCAGACCAATAGTTATTTTTGCTTACCCCTCTTATCATTAAAATCACACAAGCTACTTAGCACATTTGCAAAATACTGAGCATTTACAAAACCAGAAAGGAAGTCACACCTAATCCCACCACCTGGAGGGGAAACCACTGGGACTGTGGGCATTTCCTTCCATGCGTTTTTCTTCTATGTAACTTCAGTTTGTGGTTCAGCCCACACTAGGTACAATTGTGGGTCTTGTCTTGCTGTCATTTTTTTTAAAAACCAGTAACATAAATCCTTTTTCAAATTACCTAAATAACCCAGAAAGAACTTTCTGTTAAAAATTTAAGATAACTGGTTGAGTGTCATCAAGTTGGTTCTAATTCATAGCAACATTAGGGTTTCCAAGGAGCAACTGGTGGGTTTGAACTGTTGACCTTGTGATTCACAGTCCAATGCTGATCCAGTCGTGAAGTCCTGGTATGGCACTGTAGGATAAGCACTGAACTCTGGTAGCATAGTGGTTACGAATTGGGCTGCGAACCTGAAGGTCAGCAGTTCGAAACGATGAGGCTTTCTACTCCCATAAAGATGTACACTCTCGGAAACCCTGTACAGGGTTGCTATGCGTCAGAACCGACTCAACGGCACTTAACAACAACAACTGAAAGATGGGCAGTTCACATCCACCAGTTGCTCCTTGGAAACTCCATAGAAGGTTGCTTTGAGTCAGAAGTGACACAACAGCATATAACAACACTAGGAGTCCGGGTGTCCCCTCAGCATCTCTGAGATGGAACTGACTCAAAGGCACTTAACAGAATACACAAAAATATCTAAAACATGAAATGACAGAATCACTGCCCTTTAATGTTACTCTAACGGATTATAATTTTTAAAATTTTATTGTTTGATTTTCACAAAGCTAGTCCCCTATAAAGGAGTCCTGGTATCACCTCAAGATCCTTTGAATCGCAAGATTGGTTGGCTGTTCAAACTCACTAGCTGCTCTTTGGAAACCCTATATACAGGGTTGCTGTGAGTTTGAACCAACTCAGATGGCACTTTAACTACTGTCCCTGTAAAGGAATGTAAATAAACTGTCAGTTGAATTTTTGTAGTATTTGTTTTTCTGAAGTTATCGCTTAAAAGAACATTCCAATTTTAAGATACTTCTGGTATGGCACTGTAGGATCAGCACTGGACTGTGAACCACAAGGTCAGCAGTTCAAACCTACCAGCTGCTCCTCAGAAACCCTGTACAAGGTCACTGTGAGTCGGCACTGACTCCAAAGCACTTAACAACAACATAGTCTCCAGTCACCAGCAAAAATAATGCATGCCAACATATGATGCACAGGAAATTAACACATGAGGGTTTTAAGGTTTGCAAAAACCGTGTACACTATTGGCATAAAAAATGTGGCATATAAACCAAACCCATTGCTCTTAACTCAAGAGTACAGCAATAGGGGTAAAACTTCCTTGAGAGTTTCTTGCCTGTAAGTTTGATGGAGGCAGGTTGTCAGGCTTTTATCCCATGCACTGCTGGGTGGATTTGAACAGCCTTTAACGTTGGTCAAATACAAATGGCTTGCGACACCCATTTGGGTTTTAGATTGTAGTTTTATATGAGTGTTTCTGAGCCTTTTCGTCCCTTTCCCATCTGCTCTACAAATTAGACAATTTTGTTGCAAGGGAGGAGTTAGGGCTCACCTCATCCTGGCCTTATTTCCTGACTGCCTTTGACTGAAAGTGTGACCCTGAGAGTTTATCCCCTCTGCTCTCAGCCTCAGTCCTCCTTTTCTGTAAAATGGGGTAACGGGAATAACTACTGTATCAAGGTTAGAGGAGCAACTTAACATGCATTTCTAGAGACACTGCTGTCATTTAAAAAGACAGTACCCAGTGAAATTAGGTCAAGACCACTAAAGGAAGAGGGTGGAGATCTGGCTTGGTTTGAAGTTCTGTAAGAAAATCCAAGTCACCCTGAGAGGTGGAGGATGCCAGGGATGGTTAGAAACACCAGGCAGGTGATCATCACCACTACCCAGCACAGTACCAGCTACACAATCCGTGCTTGTCAAGTGGAATCTTAAAAGAATGTAGTGTTTTCTTTACAATAGCTGACGAAATACACTGGAGCCAGACTGACAACTGAATCAGCTGTGCTTGGATTCCCCCAGCAATAAAATGGGAATATTGACAAGAGTTGTTAAGACTAGATGAATTAAGTGCTTATTGATTAGCATAATGCGTGGCCCGTTTTTCTAAGAGTTTGCAATTAAAAAATTATTAATCAGTTATAGACTGGTCCAACATAGTAGCCACTAGTCACATGTGGTGACTTAAATTTTTTGCTACGTGCCGTCGAGTCGAGTTAGTTCTGACTCGTAGCAGCCCTGTATAGGGTTTCCAAGGAGCAGCTGGTGAGTTTGAACTGCCGACCCTGCGGTTCATGCCGACCTCGCAGTCCAGCGCATTAACCCACAGCGCCACACCAGAATTCCCGGCTTAAAATCTAATTAAAATAATATATCATCGCCGAAGGTTTCATTCAGAAAACGCGGCCGTAGATAGAAAAACTAGTGCCGCGCTGCATATGGTCGCATGCCCCGCAGAAAAAAGGCCGCCGCCGCGTCTGGTTTGAACAAGGTCTATGCTGTCCCCTAGACCCACGAGTTCCTACGCCCCGCACAAACATGACAGCTTCCTTAGGCCGCTAGCGTTCAAGCTTGACCACGCCTCCCAACCGGAACTAATGAGCCTTGCACAGTGATACGTAAGAGTATCGCCAGATGAGCATGGTCACACCCGTATTATCCTACCTCCAATCTCGTGGTTGGTTAATACCGTCCGTCAATCAGAGTCGCACCTAAATAGCGTCCCAAATCCGTGCTAACCCGCCTCTAACGTCACTTCCGTTCGAGTCCCTGTGCAGCGGATAAGGAAACCCGGACGCCGCCGCAGCTCTCTTTTTTTCCAGGCAGCTGGGAAGATGGCGGACATTCAGGTACGGGCTCGGGGCCGGTACCGAGTTTACGAGATTCCCCGTAGGCCTCGGGGGCGCGTCCTGGAGAGCCGGACCTCTGCGCTCCCATTTGGGGGTTAATTACAGGCGTCTTCGATTTCCTAGTTTAGTCTAGACCGTGCTTTCTAAATCCTAGGGACTCTGCACTTGGTGCTTAATGCGTGTTCAGACGTTTTACCGAGCATGCTTTTAAGATTTGACGTTTAAGAGATGATTTATCCGGAGGTCTCAAATCTTGAGAGTTAATCCTGTGAGAACTGAGAACTAAAGGCTGTCTCATGGACCCATCATTCTG